CTCTGTTGATGTTTAGCAACACCTACACAGATTTCTTGCCAACAGTTAGGAGACCTCTGTGTATTGGCATTTGCTCCTTTATTCAAAACATTGGTAGCTTGGATCTCGCCCTGTTTGTACTATCTGAAGCACATCTAGAATTGCTGTTGTTTGTGAAAGCCTTCTGCAGGGATTCCTCAGCACCTGTATTGGATTTTGCGCATTCAGATTTTTTTCTATTTCTTCATGGGGCAGGACGAATGGGTGTGCTAATTTTTGTCAGAGGAGCTTGCCGCTCAGAGCTGAGTCTGATTGTGCTTGACACTGCTGGGGCTAGTGCTTTGCCGTTGCGGAGCTTTGCCTGCCTTGACGCATTCTCGCCACCTGCAGGTCTGAGTCGTGCGGGTTCCTCCCTTGCTTCGTCGATTTCTAACTTCATTGCTTTGGGAAGTTTTCTGCCTCTTCACTCCTTCAGCTGGCTAGGTTTTCTGCCGTCCGTAGCCATCTCTTGTTTGGAATCTAGCTTATCACCGAGACACTTCACGTGCTTGGACTTCGTGATATCGATCTGTCGCCCTGGTTCAGCTGGATGCTTGTTGCCAGCCTTTGAATTTTTTTTTGAGACATTTCTGCCAGTCCAAGCCACATCTCAACCGGACTTCGCGGCCTCTGTGTATGCTGGTATTGCCATGGGTCCCCTGATTTCTTTGCAGGCGTGCTCCTGCTCCGGTACTTCCATTCTAGTACCTGGTGTCACGTCAGGACCGGTGATTCTGGTGCTTAGCTTCACAGCATTTGGCTCTTCCTCACCCTCGCAGAGCTGTGCTAGGGTTGAATCAGCCGCCTTTGCCTCAGACTTTGCGAAGATGAACTTCCTGTCGCTGTTGAAATGTGTGTGTGTTTGGATAATGTGGTGTCGGCTCATGGCAGTACATGATCAGGTTCAGCTCCGACAATCCCTGGAGTTGGAAATTCAGAGCTCTTGCCTTCTCTTCAAAGCATTGCCATTTCAGGCAGCAAACTTTTGGTCGCAGCAACTGCATCGTTAGACTTCTTGTTGTTGTTGCAGAGCCCTTGTTGCATTGGTACCTTCACTTTGCTGCTGGGAAATGTTTGTTTAGGGTTTTTATTGATTGCTCCCAGTGCAGCGACCTCGGGCTTGCCACCTATTGTACGCAGTTTTGTTCACCTTGCCTTTTTGCCACTCTTTGATTCTGCCTACATAGAGTCATCTCTGCTTCTGCATCATTTCCTGCACATAGGATCAGGTGCATCAATTAAAGGCACCAAACAGGAGATTATGGAGGTAGCAAGTGTTGAGCATGCTGGAATTCTGGGAGCAACTCCGCCTTCGCGCAGTTTCTCCTGATCAGAGTTGTCAGTGTTTCCATCGTACTTCGCATATCTTGAAACAACACCATCGCTCCAAAGCACTGGCTGCATCGAGTCACTGATGTTTTTGCACGGAAAGCTTGTTGGGTATTTGATATTTGCCTTGGACTTCACCAAAATGGACCTCCTGACGTCCTTGCGACAGACAGCTCGCTGTGGTTCTTTTCCACCAGCCACCTATCCCACACAGCCCGGAGCCAGCTTGTCCTTGCAATGTTGCACGAGCCTGGATTTGCTCATGTTTGCTCTGAAGGTCATGTCTCCAGATCTTCTCCTGTCAGCCTCGGGCGTTTGTGGCTTTGGTTTTCCTCCCTTTTTGAGATCTTTTGGGCAAACGGGTTTCACAACCTTGGTGCTGGAAGGAACAAATCTGGAATCCTGCATTTCCATGCGAAGTGCTGCTTGCTTAGGCACTCCAATACTGGCTTCTGGCATTGCAGGGTCAGGAAACCTCGACTCACTGCTTGTAATTGACGATGCCCAAACTGATCCTCCGTTGCTGGTGCGGTCCTCTTCGCATTTTGGAAGTCCTCTCTCAGTCTCAGCATGTGCACAGGCGGGCCTGTCCCTGCCCATGCGTTCACCAAGCAAACTTGGAGCCCCTTTATTTTTGTCAACTGTTAGCATCGGGTTGCTACTGCCATGCCTGGAACGTGGCCACACAAATTCCTCATTGCTTTTGCAAAGGGTAGGCCACCTTGACTCCCTTCTGCTACTTGGCTCATTTGTATGTCCAGGTCTGTTTTTGTTTCTTCATGCGTTCAAAAGCTTGGGGTCGCAGCTTTTGGCCATGAGCCTGTCAGGCAAAGCATTCCCAATCTTGGATGTATTCACGCTGGGAACTTCAGTGTCTCTTAAGGACCTTTCCCGGCTATCATCTTTTTCGTCAGCATTTGATCACAGCAGACCAGGTATGTCGACCTTGTTGCAGCAGTTTGCTCACATTGATGCTTCTATGCTGTCAATAGGTTTACTGCACCTAGAATGTGGGGTCCTGTTAGTTGATCTCGTCCGCTCGGAAGTCCTCACATCATTGCGGAGGCCCTCGCATCTTGAACCTTTATTGGTGCTTTGCGAAGCCAATCAGTTGGGTGTCCCCTTGCTAGCACGAAGCCTCCAGCGTTTAGACTCATTTGTGCTTATTGCGAGAATGCTCCAAGCAGAAGTGTTGCTGTTATTGAGAAGTCCAAAAGGTAGTCTTGAAAGTTTTTTATCCACACTTGGCACGTTCAGGCCAGGTCTCGTTTCCTCATCATTTGTTTCAGAATTCTCCTTGGCTGACCTTCCAATGTCCGCACAACATTCTTCTTGGCTCGGCCTGGCACTATTAACAGCTGCTTTCAGCCACCTTGGTCTTTTGATTTTCCTGCATGGATCTGGGCAAGTAGAGATACTAATTTTGCCACTAGCTTGCTTGAGACTTGGAATTCTGTTGCCTGTTTCATCAGCGGTTGGCTCAGCGATGCTGCTGCAAAATTCGGTGTGGCCGGGGAGCGTTTTGCCTCTAGGAAGTGTTGGCCAATCTGGCAGCTCTTCATTTGCCTTTAGCTTTGCACAGCTTGGTTCGCTGTTGCCTTTGAGGAGTATGGCCTACTTGGATTTCAGTTTGTTTGCATTTTGCATGTCCCCAGGTGCTGTTCGTTCACTATCCGCTATCAGCTCAGAACATTTTGAGTCTAGTTTTTTCGTGCAAAGTTTGTTGTGTTTAGGGGCAATCTTGTCCGTCATAATCTCAACCTCCTCAGGCCCTTTGCTTTCTTTACAGAGGTTTGCTTGCGTGGAACTGATCATTTTGCTCTCTGGAGCTTCCAATGCTGGCAAATGCGATGTGTATCGTGTGTCCGTGCTTGACCCTTCTCAAGCCGATTCATCGCTTCCAGTGCGGAGCTCCTGTCAAACTGGCATGTCACTCCCGGCAGTATTTATGTCCCTGGCAGGTGTGCTTCCTCCATTACATGCAAAAAAAAATCTGGAATCATTACTTCTGTTGCTTGGGAAGACTTGAGTGGGTTTTTGTTTTTTTGTGTTGCAGTTTTCACTTCTGGGCCTTCTGATTTTTCTGCAAAGTGCCACTCGCCTGGCTTTCTCTCTGTTTGTCTTCTGCGAGAGTGGCCTTGGCCCCATGATATTGTTGAGGAGGTTTGTCAGACCTGACTTTCCATTGCCCTTGAGCAGTCTCACTTGGTTGGGACGCATGTTGCTAACAATGGCAGTCTTTGAGGTGAACTCCTTGTTGCTACTGCAGAGTTCTGGCTGAGTGGATTTTCTCTTGTCAACCTTCAGCTTCGTTGCGTTGGGTTCGCTTCCATTGACTCGAGCCATGAACAAAATAGGCGTCCAAGACTTGACGGTCTCAGGACATCTGGTGTCCCAATTGCCTGTTGTTGGTGGTGGAAGCTTTGGTCTTTTCTCGTTCTTGCATTCCCTTGCGTGTCTAGGTTTTGCGCCTTTCATTCACGAGTGGGCAGGCTTTGAACCAGCGGCATCAATTCGGATGTTGAGATTGGGCACAGCATCCCCATGTACCAGACGGTTTTGCTTGGATGCAGCGTTGCCAGCCTTTGCTGTGCCCAGTTTGGACGTTCCCCTTTCCCCTCGGAGCGTCGCGTGATTTGATTTGCTGGCGCCTTTTTTTGATTGTGCGTTCTGCTCATCCCTTCCATTGCGGCATTTTACCCAAATGGAGTCGTCGCTACTGTCATCTGGAAACAGCAGAGCGACTTGCTTGCAACTTACATCAAACAAGACTTGCTCTACCCGGTGAATTGCATGAACAGTGAATTCCTTTTTGTGTCCCTTTGTTGCCCCCAGTTGCAGCATTGTCAGCACCCCTGATCTGGAATTATGGTGCTGAGCTGAGGTTGGCAGTCTTTCCTCTTTGCCTGTGATAGACGTGGCTTGGGTGGAGTCTTGGCAAGATCTGGTGAGGTTCAAAAGCAGAGCAATGAAAAGACTATTCCTTTCATTGACTGAAAGTTCTTCACCTGGTTACCAAGGAATTGATGTCGCCCTCACGAAGCTCCACCCATCTTGATCTCTTCGTCTTGGTCAGTGGTATGTTGGGCAACTTTCTCAGTTGCAAGAGCGACGTAGTGGTGCGTTCAGAAGCTTTGAAGGATAGAGCCTGCTTGAAGCATCATGTACTTGTAGTGATTGTAGTGTATTTTAAAGGATTTTGGTAAATTTTGTCTCCGCAAGGTTCCTTACCGCTTTCAAAGAGGCCAGCTTCCAAGTGCGGAATCAGCAAAAAATGAGAATGCGATGATATTTGGCAAGTATCCACTCGATCAAAACATAGCAGCTAAGGATGGCACGGACGGACATGCTTCTTCTGACCAGTGGCACTTCTTGACTTGGTTTGCCGCTGTCTACTCTGGGTCATTCTGGTCCAGGTGGGCCTAACGCGTTGCATACTAGCATGATCTAGCATGTATATGCGCAAAGTTCGCCCGCTAGCTCTCCCTTGTCCAGAATTCCTAGCCTTTCCAGTTGCAAGGGACCCACTGCTTAGATCTTACTAGCCCTGTAGAGTTTCCCAGCACAACCTTGATATGTATAAAATTTTAATTCACTTCAATTCACCTATTATTTGCAGTTGGTTTTTTCTCCTTGCAGGGCTGACCTTGCTTATGAAGAGTTCTGCGCGTCTGGAGCCAGTCATGTCCCTAGCTCCTAGGCCAAGGGCATTGCACAATATCAATCAATCCATCCAGCCATCCAGCCATCCATCCATCGATCCACCTACCTACCTACCTACCTACCTATCTATCTATCTATCTATCTATCTACCTATGTAGATACATAGTATCGACAAGTTGCCAAGTTGCCGTGCCACAGCCAAGGTCATAACAATTCATGAGCCGACCTGGTCGGACTCGCCTGGGACTTGTGGACTTTCCCCCGCTATCTTGCTTACCAGAGCCAGACAAATCTGATCCCTGAGCATTCAGAAGAAAATCAGGCCATTATTTGTCAAGACTTTCTCCTGGCTTGGGTGTGATGCCTAGTACTCTGAGCGTCGAGGCATGGAAGATCAGGGGCCATTCTGAGCCATTCTCGGCCTGAGGTTTTCGCCTCCAGTCATTGGCTTTGGGCGGCCAGGTCTGGCTCAATTTGGCTGGTTGCAAGTTACATGCATCGAAGTGAGATGCTTTGTTAATCTTTGTTGGTGTCAAGAGCCATTGATGTTTCTGATGCTTTGCCCTAGCCGCAGCCCTAGCTACTTTCAGTTCTGGGCTGACGCGCAGGTTCTGCCATAGTCCTTCACCACTCTATCGAAACAGAAGCAGCCGACTCCCAAGTACTTCTGTGTCGCAGTACGCTCGGATGGTACCGATGGTACTATCACATGTGCAGAAGACAGGAAAGAGAGTTGAGAAGTTCAAGAGAATGATTTGACAGCGATGTCTTCAGGTTTTGTCATCGCACAGTCTGACTTGGGCCAGTTTGCTGCCATCGGTGAACTTTGCGTGCTTTGCTCAGTTTTGATTTCTTGAGCTTCAGCAGGCCTTAAAAGTCTTGCCAAACTTGCAGAACTCATAGCTACCATTACGACTGTTCCTGCTGCATTTCATAAAGAAGTCGAAGCGAAGAATTTCCTTTGCTCCCTTCATCCCACCTCCAATTACGATCCTTTTTCTCATTGTAGTTTTGTCAGAAAGGTTGTGTTTTGCGTAGGTTGTGTCACAGTCTCGACAGTAGAACGCTGAGTAGAAAGTTTTAAAGCTTGGCCGTGCGCTGAGGAATGTAGAGCTGTCCCTTTCTTTGCGGTCGTTTTTGCGAGTAGATTTGATGCCATCCTCGCAGGACCCTCAAATCTTTCTGTCTCAAGTGGGGAGTATTGAAGTTAGTATTGAAGTTAGTATTGATCTTAGTATTGATCTTAGTATTGACAGTATTGATCTTATTGATTCCGTATGATTCCGTTTCAGAGCAACTTTCTCAGGTTGCGTGTGCAGCTGGAGATGTCCTCTCTAGTGTCGTCAGCCGAGTGCAATGTGCAATGCATAAAGTTGGAAGATGTTGGAAGTTTCATGAAGTTTCAACAGATCTCAGAAGATCTCATAAGATCTCAGATCTCCTCAGATCTCTAGTAGAAGAGCTAAGGCCCGGATTCGATCTTGCAGGCAGTTCTTCGCTTCTCCAGGGTTCTGAACCCAGGGGTTGAGTCGTGTTCTGTTTTGCCTACCAGTTGAGCAAGCAGGGGTCGGCATCAGATGCATTCAGATGCTTTGTTTTATGGACTGTGCTATGGCCATGTGCACAGCACCCGATGTTCAAAGCAGCAGGGTATCGAGATCCAGATGTTGCAGCCAGGGAAAGCAGCAGCATAGCACTTCTCACCTTATTGACATTGAGCGTTGATCTCTCAAAGTCTACACCTGAAAGCTTGAAAATGCCAGCCCCATGCTTTGTGGATTGCAGTTCTTCAAGCTAATTTTCTGGAAAAGCCATGCCGTTGCAATGCTTCGTAGACTGCAGCCTTTGACTGGTTTTGACCCTGGTTCGGAAGTATCACATGAAGGCAATCCGGATGCACACAGGGGAATTGCCTGGTGAATGTCAAACAACGCTTGTTGCCCGCATTCTTGAATTTCTTGATCATCACAATATTTCCCAGGAGTAGCGGAGCAGTCCAGCTTGGCCCAGGGCGAAATCAAGAGGCATGAGTTTCAACCGCCGGCTTTCTTTGCTTCGGCTGGTTCAACCATTGCAAAACTGGCTCTTGCTCAAGACATTCAGCGCCTGAAAGGCTGCACAGAGTCTTATCGTCGTGCAAATTTATCAAGAAAAGAGCGCGGAAAGTGCGGAAGCCTAAGAAGCCCCTTGGCCTCTTTTTTTTTCAATATGTTATTTTAGAGTTTAGAGACCTACACAATCCTACAGAAGGCTTGCTATGAATTGCTTACCTGTGCAACATACTTCTCCTTGCCAACCTCCTGCTGTGATAGCTGGAAGCCTGAGGACTACTCCATCAGCTACAGAAGGACCATTCGTTTTTGCGCGGTCGTCGCTAGCTAGTTGACAGCTGGGACAGGAGATCCTGGTCGGCGAGGATTTCATGCCCAGCCTGGGCAGTGAGCTTGGGACGGGAAGACAATTGAGAACGACTAGTTCCGCATAGTTGTCACATGTTGTCACAATGCACAGATTCTGACAGCGCCGGCAACTCGGCAAGTCGGGCCAAGGCGGCTCCTAAAGCAGATTGATGATGCCTGCAGATGCAAAGCGGATATCTTGCTTGTGCCCTTGGCTGGCGTAGGAATTGGAGAGAGAGAAGTGCCCCTTGCATTTTTGACGCTGCCAAATTCTAATAAAGCACGGTAAGACTTCACATAGACTTACAGTATTATTTAGAGCATCCAGTTGTTCGTTGCAACCTCTGCCCGTGACAGGTTGTGTCCAGCAGCATGAGCATAGAAGCTGTACCAGGGTGGCATGCCTGAAGCTATTCCATGATTGAAGTTTTTCCATGCTTGACCGCTTGAAGACAAAGTTGCATGGCTAGACACAGCTGCTATAGCATGCCATAGGCTATAAGACTATAGCTACGCTCAAGTATGAGTTTTGAAGCGCCTGGCTTTGCGAGGTTGCCACTGCCTCCGGTCCTCAATTGCGCCCTTGCAACCTCTCAAGACAAGCAGCAGACAGTCTTGACGCTTCGTCGGATGCGCCTTGAGTGCCTGGATCAGTCGCTGGTTTTGGAGGCTCGCACATGCAAACATCATTGAGCGACCGCCGTTGCTGATGGTAGCGACTGATTTTATTTGTCACTGCGGTCGTTGTCTCATCTTCAATGATGGTTTGGATGGTGGATGTGGTCCGACGATCAGGATGACCACGGCCACAGCTTCTACTGCTACTCTAAACTGCTACTACAATTGCTTGTCACATTCACTCAAACGAGAATTCTAGTTGCAAGTGGCATTTCTTGTGAAGGGAAGGGTGGGTTCTTTCGAACTCCAGTGCTATCCGTCTCAAACCAGCTCCCCCAAACATCAGTCCAAGACTTGTTTTGCTCTCGCTAGGTTGGTGAGGGAACCTGTTGTGAACTATACGACTGTTATGTACTTGGTGGCATTAAACTTTGCAAAGGTGCCAGTGCCAAGCTGGTTCGAACGTGCATCAGAGCAGCCTGGTTGGATGTTTAAGTCGCATCGTAAAATTTACTAGATGGCTGCTACGTTTGGTTTCAGAACGCTTCTTCTCACGCTCCTCTCTTTGTGAGTTTCGCTTTCATCTCCTCGTTCATACTAACATTCTCGTGGCTCGGGGCTGGCTCATGTTGCTCTAGTCACTAGTAATCACTAGTCCCCTAGGTTTTTGAGGGAAGCAACGTTGCTTTGCACATCTTTGCACATCTTTGCACATCTTTGCACATCTTTGCACATCTTTGCACATCTTTGCACATCTTTGCACATCTTTGCACATCTTTGCACCTATGTTTTCACCTCTTGCCGACTCTTGCCACCTCTCCCACCTGTACGGATCAGCCCAGGGTGCTGGAGCTGGTATATCAGGGCGAGCCTTCCACTCCCTTTCCATGCTCTCATGCACCATAGCGGGTTGTGCGGCTGGGAGCCTAATTTGAGACGCACAGACAGCAAACCCACCATCTCAGTTCGTGGGACTTCAAAATCTTAAGACTTTAAGGCTGATGGGCTCCTTCTGCGACATGGACAGGCCTGGGGTCCTGGGGCCCTAGGGCCCACTGAACTTGATGCTGTCAAGCTATCACGCGGACTTAAATGTGCCTGGGAGGCAGATATTGTGGACTGCACGATCTTGAATTCAGGCCAAAGTGGCATTGTCTTTGGACCAGGGCAGTGGCAGTTGACCGGTTGCACTGTGTCACCTGGCTTTGATTCTTGACCAAGAGCATTGGAGTATGGCATGGAAGTCTCTCGAATAGCTGTGGCCCGCCTGTCACAAGGACTGGGAGTAGCCAATATGGAGTTTGGGCTGAAGCAGATGCAGTGGTGTCGTGCAGACACGTGGCACAATATGGCACAACTACTGTTTGGTTGGGGGGACTTGCCTTTAGAACCTTTTACATTTCTTATCTCACTTGCGAGAGCCCAAAGTTCTGCCTGTAACGTGCCTGGAAAAGGGATGAAAAGGGAACATATGAATACATATGGCGCGTTCTGTCGGACCCGTGTGCCTAGGAGAGAACATCGTTGCTCGCAATGCGCTTGGCAACCGTGGTGGGCAAGGAGTTTTTCAGTTGCAATTACAATCAAAACGCTTTAGTTTGATGCTGGAAGCTGAGGAAAGGAAAAGATGCAGAAGATGTATCATGATGTAAGATGTATGACCATGTCCCAATTGACCTTTTTTCCTGCTCGGAACAGCTTATTTAATGGTTGGTTCCCAGAATTCTTTCTAGAGATATGTCCGCTGCTTGTCTGTGTGTGTCCGGGTCCTTGGGCCAGCTCTGCCTTTGTGGCGTCAGCTCCTGGTGATAATGTCCGCGTGCGCGTTCAAGAGAGTGGGGGAGAATATGTCATTATTGTTTTTTTTTCCTCCTCACCAGGTCACCAGCATTTTGTAGTGCTGAAATGTGCTGAAGATGTATTTTATCATAGGCTGTAGGGGTTGGAAGAGCAGCCAAACATAGCCAAACCATCATCATGCATGCCATCAACCCATTTTGCTGTGATGCTGTACTTCATCAAACAAGTAAATGCACTAGGATTTACAGGCTTACAGCTGTTTAACAGGTGTGTTTCCGTTTTGGCCCCACTTTATGCGTGGTTGTGACAAGGAAGCTAAGAACTGGTGCCACGGATTTGGACTATTGCCTGGCAGCCAGTGCCGTGTGTGGAACGAACAAAGTGCCAAATGGGTGCAGGGGAAGGTTGTGGCGGTCGCAGACGAGGCCAGAATTGTCCGCGAAGATCTGCAGATGTTATAGAACTTCCAGTGTTCACACATGTTCACACTTAGCGGTGAGAGATCCACAGGTTACCGTGACGGTGAAGAAAGGCGCTGCAAGTCGAAGCAAAGGCAACAACAAGGTTCGCAGCCCAAGTTTCAGCTTTCTTTTCGAGCCACATCACTCACAGAAGATCATTTGGCACATCGAAAGCCCGCAAGACATCTCACCAAAAAAACAGGATGTTGGAGTTTGTGAAAGGGAATATCGAAACATCCATAGGTGTGACTATCCCCTGACGTTCAGGGATTGAAGCTTCCGTTTGTCCCTCTCCTGTTTTGTGCCACAGGGGTCACCATAATTCTTGTGTTCTCACCAGTCTGAAGCTGAAAGTGTCAGGATGTTTAGCTCGTTAAGAACATTGATCCATATACGGATACATATACAGCACGCTAGTTTCGTTAGTTCAAAGGTGATGCTAGGCAGATACAACTTGAGGACGCACCGGCAGAAGCTGAGCTAGTCGACCCGTCAGCTGGTCAAATTCGAACTGAGCCCTCTGGGCGAAGCTTGGCATCAATTAGATGTAAGGTTAGTATAGTTTATTTATATATATATATAACCATTTTGATTCCGTTCCAATGTCTTAAACATACACACACACACACTCACACACGCACATACACACATACACACACACATATATATATATATATGATCGATATATATATATATATACACACCCTAAAAGTCAAAAGTCCCACCGGGTATAGGTCTCTACCTAAAGACCTAAATACACAACAAAAGACCTGAACAAGGACCAAGGATATAATAGCCTTAAAACTGTACGTTTTTGAATTCTTGTGCCATCAAGAGTATCCAGATTGAAACCCTGGTTCACACTGACGATTTCTGACGCACATTTTTTTCCCTTGTCATGTGCCCATGCTTAAGTTTTTGTGAGCCCGTTGGCATGTGAACTAATCAAGGCAAACATGTCCATCATCATCATCATCATCATCATCATCATCATCATCATCATCATCATCATCATCATCATCCCATGCATGAATTTATTGCCAACCAGATTGTTGCTCATTTTTTGGGGTGGGGATCCCAAATTGTGCTGTAGTGGAAAGACATGAAAATTAATCGAAAATCATGGTACCCCTGTGCAGGCTCTAGATAGGTCTTTCCACGGTTTGTCCATGCTTTGTCCACGGTCAGGTCTGATTTTTGTCCCTATTGCATATGTTTTGGAAACTTTGTCAGTCTCTTCTAAACTGATTCAGCAGCGCAGGCTGTGTTGACAATCACAGCTTGAAAAAAATGAATTACTTATACGTCAGGCCCTTTAAGGCTTTCAACTCAAAGTTTCAGCGCCGGTGGTACCTTCCAGCATTCGGCTTCTATATCTTATTATCTTCAATTGTTTCTCTTCAAAAAAATATGTAACATGATATGTCTCTTGGCTGTGCACATCTTGAACCCCTGCTGCAGCACCCTTCCCTAGATAGGTCCCAGGATTCACGTTTAGGTCTTTGCTCCAAAGACCTATTCCCAATAGGTTTCCGACACACAGGGTATATACACGTAAAATATAACGGGTATTAATGGTGCTTTATACAAACTGCGGTTGCTTTTTTGTTTAATAACGGCTTGGACAAATTACGTCTTTCAGTTCAGGCACTGCCAGGCAACTGAGAGTTTGTTCAGAGCCAAGCATAGCTTGACTGAGGAGATATCCAGGTCCCCTTTGATGGAGTACTTCCCCCGCGTAGTGGAGGAGATTCTCCACCATCCTTCTCTGAGCAGGTAGCTCCTACGCAGTATACGCAGTAGTCGTGAGCCGAAGTTTCATGAAGTCTCAAGATCAAAGCATGCAGCCTTTGCCACACAGGACCAACATGTGCCATTTCTTTTCGCTGGTTTTTCACTACAACTGAGAAGCTCAGCAAACTGAGTACTCTGACTTGACTAGAGTCTAAAGTTGTCTAAACTAAGTAAACAGTGGAAACTGCAAGCTGCACTGAAAGCTGTGCGCACTGAAAGCTGCCCTGATTTGGATGCAGAATCGATCAGAATCGGCATGTCTTTACACTACTTTACACCAAGGCGAAATCGCAACGCAGCTGCAGCGCGTTTCGGCTCTTCCTAGCAGAAGGAGGTGCTGGCCGAAAGGCATGGCGTTGGTTGCCATCTGAGTTGAAGGCAGCTCCCGCATCCAGAGTTTTCTCATGTTTTCTCTTCCTTGACTCGAATTGAAGTCGGAACATGTCGGAACTCAGGACTTTAGCTCTTGTTAGCTCTTGTGGGATTTGCTCCTGAAATTCTTGTGGCGACGTTTGTCATGGTTACAGAAAAAAAATCACATCGGGAGGCAACTGTGACTGTGAGGCCCAATTCCAGGCTCAATCGAGACGCCGAGAAAGGGCTGTGAAGCACCTCGGAATGATCACACCGGAGTTTGGATGCTTATGGTCAGTTCCAGCGGTAGCTTTAAGAGATTTTCTGAGCCACAGAGGATGTGCGAGCAATTGCTATTGTTTCGTGTTTTTTTTTTGTTTTTTTTTGCGTTTGTGAGCCACCGGGTAGCTGTAGCTGTAGCTCTTAGCTTGCAGTTCGAGACGCAACGCTCAGGACTGAAGGTACGAAAGCCCGGGCGAAAGCAGTAGTCGCGTTGAATCGGCGTACAGCACCAACATGGCTTGGAAAGTGGAAGCTACTCAGCCTAATTTGCACAGATGTGTTGGAGCCGCATGTTTGCCAAAGCCAAACAAGAACATGACTTACATAAATTGCGTGGAATGGATGCTTAAATGATTTTACAATATTTTACATGCATGCTGTATGCATACGGATTTGCACTCGCTTTGTCATCTGTACCTGCGGTCATGCTGTGAGCTGAATTTCTAAGGGTGTGTCCTCCCAAGAAGCAATCCAAAATCTTGCAGATCAAAAAGGGGCGTGTCGTGCAGGGTGACACACGGGAGTTCATTCATGCTCAGAGATGACGGACTCAATTCGTCTCAATGTTCTTTTAAGCTTAACAGCAACTTTTCCATTGGGCTTTCAGAATTTATGGAACGTCGTTTGCACCAAATAGCAATACCACAACCATGCTATGCACTGCGGAATTCTTGCCTGCCCCAGTTCCACAAATTTTAGGCCTTGGTCACGCAGGACAACACCTGGGCCTAAGTTGGTGGCAGTTCCACCTCGTTTTTTTTGCCTCGATGTTTGCCCAGTGAGTTCTGTTCAGCCGTCCGTTGCCTGCTAGGAGCTTTGCCACTGGCGTTGGACTTTGCACAGCAGATGCCTTAGCCGAGAATGATCAGAGCCGCTTGTAGCCGCTCGACGCCAATTCCTGTGGCCATCCCAGTGGCCTTCTGAGTACTACGCGGCGCCTCCAAGGCTAGAGCCGCCTTTGTTGTGCCAGAGGCCAGAAAATGCAAGAAATTCATTCATGCAAAATAGATGCAAAACAGGTGCAAAGCAAATGCTCTTTGATTCTTTGGCCTCTGCAGAACTGCCTGGAAGAGCAGGTGCGCGCACTTTGGAAACGATGTCTCTTTGGTTAATACTCCAAGTCCTACCCTTGAGCTTGCTGCTTTAGTTTTCAGTGCCTTCACCAGCTTGTCAGATTTGCCATGATTAGCCGCTTTTGGCTAAACTGAGGCGTTACAATAGGAAGCGATGCGAAGATCGAGTTTGTCGACCCGACCATGAAGTGGTGACCCGTGCTGATTGTCACCGGCTGCCCTAGATTTACCTTTGCAATGTCCTTGGTACTTTTTTTTTTGGTTTTAAAAGTGCATATTGATGATCACTGATGATCATTGACTGTGGCAGGTGGTCTGCAGGAAACAGCCGGCTCAGCTTGACATCGTCGACGTCTTAGCATTGGCAGGATGGATGGTACTCAACAAATGTTTAGGATACTTAAGGTACACTTAAGATACTTGCAACCACCGTGAGATTCGAACTCATGGATAGAAGATGGACAGTGACGCTACTTGGTCAGGGAAGGTGGCATCATCCACGGCATTTGGAGTGTGGAGACCTCAGGGAATTGAAAACGTGCAGATGTGACACACATACACATAGTTGCCTTCAGCTGCTTTCAGATGTTTTCAATTTTTTTCAGTTCTGTTCACTTGTCTGGCTGGACCCTGCTTTGACTTGCAGCGTGAACGGGGACATGTTGAGCTACGTCACTTTCTTTCCCAACGTTTAGAGGAAAGATTAGCATGATTCTGGTGCATTGAAGATATTGAAGTCTGCCCGCATCTTTTTGGCTTTAGCGTTTGACAGTCCGACGGCTTGTAGCCAGTGATCTCAGGAGAGCCAGAGCAGGTGAAGCTTTGCGTCCAATGCAGCTACAGATGCCCACTCCCGTGGCAGGTTATGCACAAGGTCAGGGACCCAGCCGCCCCACGACACCAGCGCCTGACATGCGGAAGCTCTACGGAGTGGCGGCAGGTTCGCCTGGGCTGATTTTGCCACAGGGCCCAGCCTTCGCACTGGGAAAGGCACAAGGCATGGCCGGACAGGGACAACCGGGACAACCCATTGACCAGTCACAACTTGTCAAGGGACATCAGTTGGATTACTGGAGTGACCACAACCAGTGCTGGATGCCAGCCACCATCACAGAGGTTGATAGCGAGTCTGGCAGCATTTACCTGAATGTCAAGCCCAACACCGCCATTTCGCGCGCGGACCAGCGCAAGAAGATTCGTGCACGCACAATACCAAGGAAAGATCAAGTGGCCATGGTGCAAGCAGTCCTGCAGCAGGAGAAGGTCGAGCAAGTTGCGGAGCAGATCTATGTCAGTGCTGCTGGATCAAGCAACCGTCCTGTTCCAAACGAGCAGGTCTCAAATCTCGGGACTTACTTGGATAGTTTGCTTGGATTGGTTGGGAGCCAGATTCACTTGACACAAGCTGCCAGAAGCGACAATGGCCTCACAATGGATGAGTTCAAAAAAGTCTTCTTCGAACTTCTTCAAATGCAGCAGGATGTGTCAGTGCAAGCCATTCCCCGCTTCTCAATCGAGTCGATCCGAGAGGGCTCTCCATGGGTGAAATACAGCAAGGGCAAGGAACTTGGCCATGGAACCTATGGCTACGTCTACCTTGCAAATGAGAAGCATTCAAAGCAGGTCCGAGCTGTCAAGGAGATTTCGAAGGACAAGCTGCAGGGGGATATGCAAGCCATGAAGAAGGAGATCGAAAACTTGACAAATTTGGATCACCCGCACATTTTGAAACTCTATGAGGTCTACAGCACCAAAGATCAGATCTATCTTGTTACCGATTTCTGCCCCGGTGGAGAGCTGCACAGCCACATCTCGGCAGCAAGAAAGAGCCGACAAGAAATTCCGGAGGCTTGGACTGCCGAAGCGATGCTGCAGCTGATGCAAGCTATTTGTCATATCCATGTGCGAGGCATCATTCACCTGGATCTCAAGTCACAGAATATCATGCTGATGCCTAGTCAGAAGACTGCAGCTTTCTTTGGAAAAGATGCTGCTTCAGAGACTGGATTCGCAGCAAAACCGCATTTGATTGTCATTGACTTGGGAATCGCAATGCACTTCAAGCCAGGAGACTACAGAGGAAACCGTCCAATGGGGACTCCAATGACCATGGCTCCTGAAGTTTGGTGGGGAGAAATCACGCCAGAAGCTGATGTCTTCAGCTGTGGCTGTGTCTTTTTTGAGTTGCTCACAGGGGAGATGCCGTTCCGAGTGAAGTTCGAGGGGAACTTTGAGGATATTGTGAAGTTCTGGCGCAGCAAGCCACGGGCTGCATCAGCGCGAGCCTCTGCAGATGCTCAGGAGCTCCTGAAGAACATGCTGGTGCAAGAGCGCCAGAGGCGACCTTCTGCATCTCAATGTTTGGGAAGTGCCTTCCTGAAGAAAGCTGTACCAAAAGGCAGGCAGGGCAGCCTGGATGATGCGAAGAGAGAAAAATTGTTCAAGAGACTTGGCACTGTCCATTGCCGATCAGTTCTGTACAAGAACGTAGCCCTGACCATTGCACAAGATTGGCCTCCCAACCAAATGCCAACTTTCAAACAGCTGTTCAACGAGCTGGATTTGGTTGGCAATGGCTCTTTGTCCGGTGAGACTTTGGAAGCAGCACTCATGAAGCACGGTGTGGAACAGGGCGAAGCAAATCGAGCTACTTCGGCCATGAATCTCAGCCAAGACAAGGCTGCAATCCATTGGACTGAGTTTGTTGCAGCTTGCATCGATCTCAGCTTGCCTGAATTTGAGCCCAAAATCTTCAAAATCTTCCAGGATGCTGATACAGACAAAGACAATCTCTTGGCCGCAGATGACTTGATGAACACATTCCCACAAGGCCACAAGTACTCCCGGGAGACTGCTGCAACGATCTTCAGAGATCTCACCGGCCGAGATGCACAAGACAAAGGAGCTCGAATGGACTGGAGCACTTTCTACGGACACTTGCGCAGCTGTGCCCTGAATGGTGTTGATGCTGAAACAGATTCATTGCAAAATTCCCAGTGGGGGATCTTCAGTGGCGTTGTTGATGTGATCAGCAATGCGGCAAATACCTACTTTGCCAATGGTCAGAGATCTGGGACGGCATTCCCTGGGGAGAAATCTCCACAGACCATGGAAGACATGCTGAAGGCATTGGCGGACATGGGCTTTACCAACAAAGAGCTGAACAAGAAGGTCATCAAGGAGAAAGGTGGCAGGCTCACTGATGATGTCATAGAGGCCATCATGAGAAGCACCTGAGAAGCACCTAAGGACGGAGATTCTATGCAGCTGTCCTGGTGAAATCGGGATACTGCTCCACTCCCCCCGTCGCCGAGATGTTCGGCTGCATGGAATTTGCCTTTTCTACCCATCAGAGCTGATGCCAGTTTTGGCGCGAATTTGCAGTCAGTCAATGTTGCAAATCTGCAAAGTCAAGACATGAATTCAAATCATCCAAGCCAAGGTCCCCATTTTGCCTTGGCTCTCGATGCCTTCAAGGTATCGTATCATAAGACCTTCAGGTCTTCTTACGGATCAGAGCAGTTCTGAGCAGAGCTAACTTGTACAGCATTTAGTTGACTGTGAGGCAGGCAGCAATCATCTGCCATGCCACAGAACAAAGAAATGATGTGTTTCCGACAAACATCCTTCGCTTCAGAAGGCGCTTTGAAGCTTCGTGTCTTTCCTTCTGCAGACCACCTCAGGCGGAATTGGCAAGAGTGAAAAAGTCACCGATGGTGATGGAGTCTCCTTGCATCTTGCTATCGATCACGTGATCCGATATTTTTCATTTAATGTTCCATGCCCTTGGTAGTTCGATCATGTTTGGCCAAGTTGTTTAGGCAGATGCAGAGGGATACAATCTTGGTCAGAAGCTTAACGACAGCTTGAATCATGCTTCTATGGTGGGTTGTGACTGCTTTAATCGTCCAAAAAAAGGCCGTAGCTGACTTTCATATGTCATGTGACTCTTGACGCCCAGAGCTTTGCTAAAAGTTGTGCACATACTACGCCATCCCGTCAATGTGAATCTCCAGGATCCAACGCGTGGTCTGACAGGCGTTTGAAGGCAGGTGTCAGCATTCAGCATGAGCCAGGCATCCAATTTCATTCTTACATCCATGAGCTGCCCTGGAAAATCTTTGCAATACTTTGTGATACTTTGTGACGAAGGATTTGAAGGACAACCTGGCAACGCTTCAGGCGAACATCCAGCCCATAATGGCAGCCATTGCAAACCGCACAGTCAATTCTAGTGCCGAAAGCCGAGTCAATACGTCTGGCAGGCACACACACACGATATATGTTTGTATTACAGTACAATGCAGAGTATACAGACAAAAGGGTGAGCAAAGTATACGATGGATATGAATCGCACAAATACGGGGACAACTCGATGAATAGGTGAAGAAATGGGCCTGTGGTAATATGGATAATATGGTAGATATGAATTGAACAAGTACACACAATATAACACAATTACACGCATGTATAATCATGTATATGCATTGTATGTGTCCATATGTATGCACATGTGCATGTCTACATGTATATAGATATAGTGCACGCATGATGCCTGCCAAGACCCAGTTTTTTGTGGACATGCAAGACATGCGCACAAACAAAACAAACAATTTCCTATGCTTGCTCTCAAAGTTTGAAGGTCTTGTTGTCACCCTGCCGATGTGCATTGGTGCTTGGAGAAAGGCATGCCGTATTGATTCATGAAACAGTGCCATTCCGTCAAGAAAGTGTGACATTCATACCAGAAAGTGCAGTACTTGCAAGAAGGTGTGGTGTAGCCGTCCCGAAGCATCCCTGAAACCAGCGTACAGTAGTAGGCATTTAAACAAAAACGGCTTCGCTGTGAGAAAGTGTAATTTAGTCCGCAACTGACACAACCAAGTCTGACATTCTTGGGCATCGATTCCAACATTTTGGAAGAGAACAAGTATGAACCAGTTCGGCTCCGATCCTTAAATTCAAGAGCCAAGTCCCTGGAGTGGGATTGTTTCGACATGGTATATAATATAAATGTTGAATCTCGAATCTGTGGCTTTGCAAAGTCTAAGTACCAGACCCCACAAGAACACAGCATGTATGTCATACTGTATGTGCGCAAATGCGATGTAAACTTGATCCAGCTTTGTAACCCAACAGCAGATTCCAAGCTTCCAGGATTCAATTCCGGTTTTCACGGCCGACAAAAAACAGCGCACCACTTTCAGACCCAGACATGGAAACCCAACAATACCATGCAATACCCTGTATTATGGCGCCCCAACTCTGCCAAAAGCAAAGCAAAATTTATCAAAAGCTAGGACTGCTGTGTCTCGGGCAGGGCTATCTATCCTATCTATCCTATCCTATCCTATCCCATCCCATCCCATCCCATCCCATCCATCCATCTATCCATCTATCCATCTACCTATGCACCTATCTATAGGGTGCACCTACCTATATACCTATCTACCCTTCTACCTTTGCAGGTTTCAATCTTGCTATCAATCCATCCATGCATTCATCTGTGTTTGCACGGACACACGCGCCTGTGCCCAAAGACATCCACAAGAGACCCGGATGCGGACTTTGAAGCCTGCCATGTCTTGGTGGTTCTTCACATGCATTGCATGGTGCACATGCTAAGCTGCTATGTGGTTTGCTTAAGGTCTCCCTGCTCAACATGCTCCGGCCCGTGGCATACAACATGCAGGGCGATCCAGCCAGAATTAGGCCTGTCCCAAGCGGTGACCTAAGGCAAGAAAGCGTTGCATTGTCAATGCGTGCTGCGCAGGTTTGGCTTCATTGCGGACGAGATGCAGCAAGTCCTGCCAGAAGTTGTCCGGTACACTGGAGCCATGAACTCTGCTTCCTGGTTCCATGGCATTTGCATTGTGAACACTTTGCGAACTCAACGCGCACCATGGCTAAATTTTCTGGACTGAGGCCGGTAAAGACAGTGCCCGAGCAGGCATCATGTACCTGGACTTGCTGGCGGTGCTCGCCTGCTCAATACAGGATGTGCTGCCTGGATGTACGACTGTAGTTGACGTTTGACATCGCTTGAGCCAACTAGACAAATCAAGACGTGAAACAATGGAAACAACATGAAACAACAACCCACACATGCACTGCTTAGCACCTGGTTAATTAGAGCAGATGCCTACAAGACGGATGGGCGGAGAGAGGTCCAAGTGCTTTGACTGATGCCTTTGGCTTCTGGCATTTTGGGGATGAAGGGTGTTCCATGCTGTTCATTACTGCTCGATGCAGTTCAATTGTTGTGTGCGTACCTTGCTTTGCAGGAGTTGACGCTGGAAATGAACCGTGTTGTGGAACGACTGTCGGCAGTTGAAGAAAGGACCGCGCCGAAGAAACGTGCCCGGAAGGATGAAGGATTTGTGGAACACTTCTAGCATGTCTTGTGGCTAGCTGTATTACAACTTCTTTTGGTCAGCATCAGGTTATCGTCTGCAGCCGTTTACGACCAAAGATACATTTTCAAGAATCAAATGTATGACATGTGATCAGGCTTGTGCACACTTGTGCAAACTTCAGAGGTGCAAGGTCAAATCCGAATGAAACTTACCTTTTCAGCGAACACACCTCCCTTTCTTGACGCCAGGATTCAAAGACGCAAGATGAGAAGTTTGAAGACAAACTCCAAGTGACGAGCAGCCCGCCTTCCTTTGCATGAACTTTAGGCCTTTAGGAAACTTGAAGCACATTGCTATGCAAACTGGCTGTGCAACAAATTGTGCACCTGCCGCAATCTATACATTAACTTCTATTTTTCATCGATTTCATCGTTTGTTTCACCAGTGTGCCGCCTCTACCTGAGCCGTCACGAACAGAAAAGGGTCTGCAACGTCCTGCGATTCTGGAATGGAACTGCTACCTTGCGCCTGCAGCTGTGCTGTAGCCCGCAGTGGGTGCATCTGACATTGCCTGGTACTAGATGAGAATCCGCAGCTTTAAATTCAACGGACCAGGCGGAAGTAACTACGCAAAGCCACAGTGTAGTAGGAAGCAATGCGGACAATGCACAAGGGTTCTTGAAGGCCCTGGAAGTATGAGAGACAGTACAAGTGCTACAAGCTGGCATTCAGACGCAAGCAGCTGTTGCTCGCCGTTTGCGGGCACTCCCCATAGCCAAAGCGGTTGGAAACCCAGTGGCAAAAGTGTTCGTTGCGTTTCCCGCAGCATTGGAAGCAGACCGTGCAAACTTCCCTAACATCAAGTATCATCAAGTGCACATATGAAAATGCTGGACAGGCAAGCTACATATGTCTGTTCCTAGTGAAGCACTTCCCGCCGTGGTTGCTTGGATGGCGGAAGTTGCACCGGGATTTTGCGGTGCTGAGTCGTTTCCAATTTCTTTGGTGCAATGCTAACATCTTGATATCCAAGCGGTTTAGAATCTTGACATCTTTTGAAAAAAATGTCCTTTTGAAAAAACATATTCTTTTGAAAACATATTCTGTTGAAGAAATATTATTTTGAAAAAATATTCTTTTGAAAACATATTCTTTTGAAAGAATATTCTTTTGTGCTATTTCTGAATCCATTCTGCGGCTCTTGACAAGGTGGCCGGGGGTGCCAGGGCCCTGAGACATTTGTCTTCCAATTTCAGCGGAACTGACTGGGAACTGTCGAAAAAGTGAAGCTAAGATGCTGAGTTGATGCTAAGGTTGGCATCGTGGCAGCAGCAGCCACGAGCTAAGTGGCTTGCATTGGCTTGCGCAAGCCTATGGTGCAACACATCTGAAAATGCACGCTACATGGCTACATGCATAAGGTGCAACCAGTCAGTAAGGTACTTTGCTGCCACTGAGCAGCATGATAGCAGCATGTAACACGCCCAAGGTCTTTGTGTTTAGTGGCGCTTCATCGCAACCGACATCATGGGACAAGGAGGCAAAAACTCCAAAAAATGCAGCCGCATGGAGCTTAGCCAAAGGTCTCTGTGACTAAGCCGACTAAGCCTTTCCAAATGTGTCAGTGTTCTGAATCTTCTCCCTTTTTGCCTTCCACGCTGCGATGAATTGAGCAGTGTCCCGTGGTGTAAGAACGATGACAAGCTGAACGAGCAGAAAGATACTGAGACAGAAGGCGAGGAAATCGAGGTCAACGAACTCACCCGAGGAGAGTAAAAACGACTATTATCGACTATTGATGTGACACGTTGAGTGAAGCTTGCAGAGCATTGTAGAGCCGTGTTTGACAAGCAAAACATGTCGAACTGCAGATATTTGCAGGTGCCGTGCCTTTCGCAGGAGACTCGGAGCCGCAAAGCACGAAAAAGGCCAAAGGTGCCAAAAAGGAGACGAAGGAGACGAAAGAGGAGACAAAAGAAGTCAAAGGAGTCAAAGCTCAGACCACAGAGACGAAGGCGGCAACTGACCTAGACGCAAAAGTTTCCGAAGAAGCAGAGCTCGAGCCGCATCCCTAAGTAACTTTTGCATGGGCTTGTGTCATGGATGGATTGACGCCAAGTGTTTGAGAAGTGGTGCATAATCAAGAAGTTCAAGGTGAGTGTGAGGCCTGCAAGGGCGTAAGGCCCAAGGTCTGGCCTATCACAGCTTGCCAAGGCCAAAGCACGATGCAGACATGCGACTGGGCTACAAAAACAATCAAAAACAGCCGTTGGAAAAAAAGGTAAGGATGCGAGATATTTCTATAGATAGCTGGGCTTCACAGTTTTTTTCTAGCTGACTAAGGCCAGTAGACTTTTTGAAAATGCGCCGCGGCAAGCTGTCTGCAGACCAGGAGGTGTCAAATTTGGGTTATGAAGCAGGGTCCGAATTCCAAAGCAGTCAAAAAGTAGGCTGAAGCTATGCAGTCTGTTCCAAAGCAGTGCAGGCCAAGTTTCGACAGGGTCTTGCGAACTTGCCACCAGAGTCGAAAAAGGCGCTGCAAGAATGGGTCAATATGTTGCTAGGCTGCAATTTAAGTTCCTGTCACCCAAAGTGGTCAAGATTCAAGGGATTCAAGGCAAAATTTGACAAAGGCCATACCAGCACAGATGATACTTTGTCCTCACATCCTGATCGGTTGCGCCTGAAAACCTCTGTATCATGAATGCATACAGGAAAATAAATTTCAAAACATGAGAAGCATCTTGGACCCAGCCTCCTGAACCAGACCCAACCAGACCCGCAGATCTGAACAACAAATCGCGACAAAAATGACAAGGAAAGATGACAACTGACGGAGAACTTAAACATGACACGGAACAATAAAAAACAGCAACTGAAACATAATTGTATAACAACAAACAAATGATGCGCGTTAATGAAAAATGGCAGCGGCATACCCACTGGACCAAAATATGCTAAAACATCAAACGCATATTATCATATGACCAAACAACCGATATATCTTGATCCTTCAATAAAAAATGCACGTTGGAATGGACAGTCTGAATGTCGATGAAACGGGCAACCCAAGCGTTGAATCAGGTTTGTCTAGCTTGAAGCCTGGTGAGTGAATTGTGTGCCCTGTGCCTCCCAGGACTGAGAATAGCACGTGGACTTTGCTGGGCTTGAACTGCCTTTTCTTTGTCTTCATTGCAGGCTCAGAAATGTTGCTAGTGTGTGGAGAGTCATGAAAGTCATGGAAGTTCATGAAAGTAACAGTGTGTGGTCTTTTGCAGGTGTCCTGACACTGGCAGCGGCAGCTATTGTTGGCACCGGCCTGAAGTCTTGGTGGAGCATGTATGGTCTAGTCCGACGTGGAGTCATATGGAGTACGTGTGTGACAGAGAGATACCGAAAGAAGCGCAGTAACATCACGCTACCAGGTCCTATTATGTATGTGGGAAGAAAACCCTGCACAAACCAGCAAGATGCCCATGTACTTGGCATACCTCAAAGTTCAGGCAACTGCAGTAGGATGATGATGGTTGTGTTTGAGTTTGGTCTCTTCACACACGCCAGAAGCTTTCCAAGGGGGTTGATGCATTTGTGATGCATTTACATGAGGAGTTTTCCAGATCAACATCTTCAATCCGGATGTCTGGCGCTGCTTGGCAAGCAACAGTGAGGGAAGTTTTTGGAAGATCAGTGGCGAGAAAGTATTTTTGGATGCTTTTGGCAAATCTCAGAGCTTGTGAGGTGAAGGTATTTCCAAGTTACAGTCCGAAAGTGGGCTCTGGCCAAAGGTTTCATCCTCAGCCGACCAAGGGAGAGGGAGAGGGCGAGAGAGGGTTGGAGAGGGAAGACGGAAGGCTGACTGCGCTCTTTGTCATAGCCATAGCTGTCTTCAGCATAGGTAGCACCAGCTCCACGAGCGCGTGAGATTGCCCATGATCGACACATCGATCTTGCAGAATTATAGCCACCGCTGAAGCCCAGTGGTTTTGAAGTTCTGCGGGCCCATTTTCCATGGAAGAAGCTCCAGGGGCAAAGGCACCCGCAGCCTGACTACAAAGTTGGACATGCGCATATAACGGAGCAGTGATCCCAATGTAAACTTGCACAGGCCAACGAGCCGTGCAGAGAATTGATGCAAATGCTGAGTATTATAAAAGGTGCAGAAAGCTGACACTGAAGAGCTTGTGAGTAATTAGCTTCAGCCAGCAGCTGGAACCTTTGCGCTGAGAATCAAGCACGGAGAAGGGTTGAAAAGAAGCTGAGTACGGTATCTATCTATCTATCTATCTGTCTATCTATCTATCTATCTCTCTCTCTCTATATATATATATATTATACTATATTTTAGTATATATATATTGTCGACACTGTATATTTATATATAATACATATTGTATATATATATATATATGCGAAAGGGAACTAGGTAATACAATCATTTCACATGCTGAGCATGTAGTCAGTGATGCATGGACTGCCAATCACTTGGCTCAAGTCATGCGCGAGGAAAAAGATCGTTCTCCGAACGCCATGCAGTGACGTTGCCCTGCACTACCAGCACAACCGGTACTACAATCAAAAGGGATAATCCAGAACAAGGATCAATTTGTTCACAGGTTATCAGCCGTAGGGCTCACTTCTCCCGCCGGGAGAGTGGTACCTGCGTGCTGGTAGCCGGGCCGTCTGAGCAATTGATTGAGGACGCAAAGGACCAATCGGCTCATCATCGCAAAGATGCAAGGCGGCAGCGGAGATTCGCGCACCACGCAGTTTACCTTCAATGAGAACGCTGCTATGCCGGTCGAGGAGGTCAATCAATCTTCCCCTGGCGACACGGCAGACAGTGGCGGGATACGCTCTACCCGAACTACACAGTCCGGATGGCAAGTCACATCAAACAGACGAAGAATATCCACCCAAAGTACACCTAGATCTTCTCGAAACAGTGCTCGGAGTGATGTTGTCCGCCAAGGGCATCGACCATCTCGAGGACGTACTACTCCAAGGGACAGATCCACCAGGGCCGTGACCGACCGAATTGGTGAGAGGACCGGGGATAGTCGTGTTAAGAGGAGATCAACGGATACTTCTGTGGCTAGTGAACCTATTGCCATGATAGAAGAACTACGGGCACAATGTCAATCCCTACGTAATCAGCTGAACAACATGGAAGCATATGCTGCATCCAGGGATCAACTGATTCATGACATCGAGATCAGGTTCACTGAGTATCTTCGGGAACACAATCAGAATGTATTTGATGAGGTCAATGCACTCAATCATAGATTGTCATGTTCCGCAAATGAGGTTGCAGAATATCAAGCAGAACTAATGGTAGCATCTCAGGAAGATGAAGGTGCAACAATACGCATCCAAGACCTTGAACGCCGAGGTGCCCTAATGGAACATGGTGCACGACGGATCCATCAACGTGGTATGGAGATCCAGGAGGAGTACAAGGATGAAGTACATCACCTTCAAGGACTACTGGGTAATACGGAGGCAAGACTACAACAACTTCATCAAACCAATGTCTTAACCACCGATATTGCCAATCGACTATACAATGAAGGTCAAGAAATGCAAAATGATTTCCAGAACTCAATCATGGAATATCGTAATCGATCTGAAATGGCATCCTCCTCTAGTAATCAACTTGAAGTGATTAGCCAGCAACAATCAATTGCAGTTCATGAATTATCTGAGCGAAATCAGCTATTGAGTGAAGCCTTGGTTCAGTCTCGTAAACAGGCCGAGCTGTATGAGAGCAGTATTGATGAGATCACTAGAGAGTCTAGGAAGAAGGTGTTCGAGGCAAATCAGGCCAAATTGGAAAGTGATCTGAAGCATCGAAACACTGAACATGATACCGTCAAAAGAATTGCATCATACAGGAACCAAGAGGCCGAAGCAATATCTCACCTGAGGCTTGAATCACAGGCTAGTGCAAACTCGATCGCGAGGGCAGAGCACTATGAAGAGCTCTATGCCAATGAGCAGAAGATGAACTGCGAATTGAAGGATGAGATCAAGTTGCAAAACACGAAGTTACGAAGATCATTGACTCAGGGTTCTACGACCGACGGTCGTGGCCCCGAAGAGATGCTTGTTGAAGATCTACGTAATCAAGCTAAGATCGCTCAAATCAGGGTTCAAGATCTAGATCATGAAGTTCATGAATGCTTACAAGAGAACTTGTTGTTAAAAGAAAGGTTGGCTGAAGTTGCGGATGTAGGGGCGTCGTCCCTCACCAATGCTGAGGTCCGAACTCTAAGATCTGAGCTAGAGAGTGAGCGAAAATTAAAATTGGCGAGTGGTGTTCAACAATATGAGAGATCATGCATGTTCATGGGGGAAATCCAGGATAGGGATGAAAAGATTGGCATCAAGAATTCTTAGATTGTTGACATGAAACGTCACTTAGATGAACTGAGAAAGAGTCTCAAGGATTCTGAAACATCTATGGCTAGGATCAGCCCTGACACACTTCCCTATTCGGCAGGCATTCCCAACTCCGATCTCGCATCCAGACTGTTCATCGACAAACTGGAGAATGACGTGAATGAGGCTAACTGTGAAAACGCTATTCTAAAATCTTGGGTTTCGCAGATCGACAAGGAGTTGACTTATGAGACAAATGTGGCTCATTCCTATCGTGGGCATGCTTTACCTCCTCAACAACCACAGCATTCTCAATCAAGCAAAAGAATCGCTGATCTACTGAAAGAGGTTGACAACAAGATCGCTGGCGGAACTGAGAGGGAATACTACAAGCCACCGAGTGGCTGGGGCGGTCCGCCTGACCCTGATGGACCTCCGGACCCTTTCGGGCCTAACGGTCCAGGACCACCTCCTGAACCTCCTGGTTTGCCTTCGGTTCGAGGATCACAACGCGATTCAGCAGATGATGTCTCCACAGCGGCTTACACTGCAGAAGAAGTACCAAGAATGTCAAGACGAGAGGCTGACAAATTCTATGTTAGTCCATGGCCAAAGCAACAGAATCTTGGGGTTTGGCAATCAGATCTCATCAAGAGTGTTGTTCTTTCGGCAAATGACGGGGATAAAGCCGCATGGGAGGCATGGCTACAGCCGGCTATTCGACCAAACCCTGACATCGAGCTATTGAATGACAGTGGGGGGCAACGATATCAGTCCATCGACGCCAAGTTGTCAATTGCATTGTCAAACGTGATAGCCCAAGCCGGTGATGTTGCTCGTCATGTAGCGATCAAATTGAGATTGAGAACACAAAGTCATAGCCGAAGAGGAACCTATGTCATGGGACGGGAAATCTTGGCTTTGATTCTGGAGCACTTCAGAACCCCAGGTCAACGAGAAACATCCTTCACTATGGAGCACATCGTATCGATGAAGTATCTCGGTGACTCGAACCTAGAAGTGTTCTACGAGAAATGGATGGAGATGGTATCAAACATGATGCCGGATGACGTACCTCCTGATGATTGGCTTCGTGACGCTTTATACAAGAAGATTCGAAATTCGAGTCTTATGATGTTCGACATCAAGCAGTACGAGTCATGGATGGAAAGAGACCAAAGACGAAATTATCGCTACCTGTTGGATGTCATCGAAAGGCACATCTCCAGAATCAGAGAGGACAAGCATGTGGCAGCCAGAGAGAAGTATGCGAGAGACTTTGCAGGCGGCGGCAAACCTTCAGCTCCTGCTCCGAACCCGACTGCTGCTGCACCGGATGCAAATCCAAAAGCGAAGCCCAAAGCTACTCCCAAGGAGAAGGCAGCGCCCAAGGCGAAGGCCAAGGCCGATGCAGCTCCAGTTCTACCATCACCTCAGCCTAAACAGCATGCAAAAGGAAAAGGAAAAGGTCAAGGGAAAGGGAAGGATCGATCAAACGGCCGAAGTACCAGCCCCAGATCCAAGAAGAAGATCCCATGCCATTTCCATTTCATCAAGAAAGCATGCAGAAAAGGCAAGGATTGTGAATACAGTCACGACCAAAAGGTATTTGATGCGAACAAGAATGCAAAAGGCAACGGTCGGAAGCCAGGAACTCCAAGAAGTCAGTCTCCGGCAAACAAGACCAAGAAGATTGATGAACCATGCTGGCATTGGGCTAAGGGCAAGTGTCGGTATGGAGATAAATGCAACAAACGCCACGATCCTCATCTATTCAACACTGCTCCAAACACTGAAGCACCAAGCTCAAAGGCTACTCCTGCACTTATCCATGATTGGAGTGATGATGAAGGGACGTTCCATAAGGTTGCATCAAACGTGATCAAGAAGAAGATCAGATTTGATGAGTCTAAAACTCAAGTTCAAACTTACGTGAAGAAGGACTTCGTGAAGTGCAGCCGGAAATCCCAAACCATCCCCAAAGGTCATGGTAAAGTTGGCAAGCCCACTGATCAGATAAGGAAAGATGAGCAGTGGTCTTATTCATGCAGGTTAGCTTCGAGCCGAGGGAAAGCAATGGCTATTCTGATCGATGAGAAGGGTGAACACAGTGACATTGATGAAGTCCTGGTCATAGTCGGCCCTAGCATGGACATCCTGATCAGACTCGACGGTGAGGTGTCCAGGGATGTTTTTGTGGAAAACTATGTTCAGCATATTGAAGGTCGATATGGTAAAAGAGGCAACACAATGTGTATCACTGTTCCTGTTGAAGAGAGAGATAAGAGATTCATATTGGATTCTGGAAGTGGCCATGATCTCATTTCATCTACACGAATAAGTAGAATGGATCTCCCAACATACGATGACAAGGTCGTCAACTTCCATACAGCAAATGGGGTAACGTGTTCGACCAAACGTTCAAGCATCAAGTTCGAGGCATTTAGCGAACCAGCAGAAGCTCACATCTTGGAGGACACACCCTCCGTGCTCTCCATGGGAAAGCGATGCGTTGATCTTGGTTATTCTTTTGTATGGCCGAGCGGAAGAACTCCATTCATGTTGGATCCAAATGGCAACTTC